TACACCAATCCCAAAGAAGGGCAATGCCAAGGAATGTTCAAACTATCGCACAATTGCACTCATATCACACGCTAGCAAGGTCATGCTCAAGATCCTACAAGCTAGGCTTCAACAGTACGTGGATAGAGAACTACCAGAAGTACAAGCTGGGTTTCGAAGAGGTAGAGGAACTAGAGATCAAATTGCCAACATTCGCTGGATTATGGAAAAAGCAAGAGAGTACCAGAAAAATATCTACTTCTGCTTCATTGACTATGCTAAAGCCTTTGACTGTGTGGATCACAACAAACTATGGCAGGTCCTTAAAGAGATGGGAGTACCAGACCACCTCACATGTCTCTTGAGAAACCTGTATAAGGGCCAAGAAGCGACAGTTAGAACCGGATACGGAACAACTGATTGGTTCAGCATAGGAAAAGGAGTACGAGAAGGATGTATATTGTCACCTTGCTTATTTAATATATATGCAGAGTACATCATGCGAAATGCTGGCCTGGATGAATCACAAGCGGGAATTAAGATTGCTGGGGAAAAGATCAACAACCTCAGATATGCAGATGATACCACTCTAATGGCTGAAAGTGAAGAGGACCTAAAGAGCCTCTTGCTCAGAGTAAAAGAGGAGAGCGCAAAAGTGGGCTTGAAGCTCAACATCAAAAAAACTAAGATCATGGCATCCGGCCCCATCACTCCTTGGCAAATAGAAGGGGAAGTCGTGGAAGTAGTGAGAGACTTCACGTTCCTGGGATCCCAGATCACCGCAGACTGTGACTGCAGCCATGAAATTAAAAGACGCCTGCTCCTTGGGAGGAAAGCGATGGCGAACCTAAACAGCATGATAAAAAGTAGAGACATCACCCTGCCAACAAAAGTCCGCATGGTCAAAGCAATGGTATTCCCAGTAGTCATGTATGGCTGCGAGAGTTGGACTATAAGGAAGGCCGAGCGCCGAAGAATAGATTCTTTTGAACTATGGTGCTGGAGAAGACTCTTGAGAGTCCCTTGGACTGCAAAAAGATCAAATCAGTCAATCCTAAAAGAAATCAACCCTGACTGTTCCCTGGAAGGCCAGTTAATGAAACTGAAGCTCAAATACTTTGGCCACCAAATGAGAAGGGAGCACTCCCTGGAGAAGACCCTGATGCTGGGAAAGATTGAAGGTCAAAGAAGACGGGGACGGCAAAGGATGAGATGGTTGGACAGTGTCATCGATGCAACGAACATGAAATTGAGCCAACTTCAGAGGACGGCGGAGGACAGGAGGGCCTGGCGGGAGATGATCCATGGGGTCGCGAAGAGTCGGACTCGACTGTGCGACTGAACAACAACAACACCAGACTAGCTCTCCCCTCACCATCCCGAAGTCCTGTAGCAGACTCAGAGAGCAGGTCTACTCAGAATCCTATTCAAGTGTATTCAATGGAAATTACTCCCAGGGAAGTGTTCTCAGGATGGTTCTATTAATCTGGAAAATATAAAATTGAGATTTAATTACTTTTATTGCATTGTTGCTGTTTTGCTATACTATTATTTTGAAAACATCTGCTAAAATATATGAAATAATACATTTCAATCATTCTTATATTTTTATGCTAAATCTGTGGCACTGAGCAATATGTTTTCTATCATATCCTTTAGTCTCTTGAGTCCTTCTCTTGTCTAGTCTCAGTGACCCTTAGACCAAGTCTTATGCCTAAAAGGTTAATTTAGTCCCATTTGGTTCCTAACATCAAGCAGGTTCCAGCTGGCAGTAAGTTATGCACTTCTGATGCAGCTGGAACTTCAGCAGCTCAGGAGGTAGATCAGGTAAGAACATACAGGTCTGATTTCATTTAATTAAGAGGCTTTTGTGGCCATAGCTGCTATGGTCTACTATTCACTGACACAATGAACCCCCAGAAAAAGGAACAGCCCAGGCATGTGCCTTTGAAATAGACAAGATGCCTCACAGAGATTATGAACTCAGGTGACCCTACCAACACTTCAGAGAGATCTTGTTCACTAGTTCTGACTCTGACACCTCTCAAAGAAACAAAGTCAGAGTGCTGTACTACCCTACCTATTTTCCCCCTGCCACATTAGAAATTCTTTTACTGTACATACCTGGGACCTGTTACTGGTGTGTAAAGGATGTGGAATACATTTAGCTTTTTTTATCCAGTGCATTGCAAGTTCATTTTGGAAATGTTATGGAATGAAGGTACTGTGTTCTCAGAACTAATATCATGGGCACATGCTATTTAAGGATGGCACCTTAAGATTAACATAATACAGACATACAGAAATGTAAACAATGGGGGCCATAAAATACAAGGGGGCTGTGATATATCCATGCAAAAACCAAGTTATCCAAGATCAAATCAGTGAGAAGTACTCAGAAGTCCCATGAGAAGTCAAAGGTGTAAGAAGTCAAAGGAACTTACTCCTAGGAAAGCGTTTTTAGGATTGCAGCCTTTGGTACATAATGCTGCCGGATAAACTCACAGTTGGAAGTGAAAGCTTTGAGCTGTCTCTTAGCCTCAGACTTCAGAGGGGGACTATAGAGAGTCAAATAGACATAGGTCAAGACCCTGAGCATCCTTCATTTCTACTGCTTGATGCTATCCCTTTGATGTGTAGATTGCTACTTTCAGGGAATAATTCCTTCCTTCCAGATGACACCCCTCAACACCACTCTGAGCCAGTTTGGTGTAGTGATTAAGAGTGCAGACTCTACGTTTGATTCCCCACTCTTCCACATGCAGCTGCTGGGGTGGCCTTGGGTCAGTCACATGTTCTCTCAGAGCTGTTATCTCATGAGCAGTCCTCTCAGAGCTCTCTCAGCCCCACCTACCTCACAAGGTGTCTGTTGTGGGGAGGGGAAGGGAAAGGAGATTGTAAGCCACTCTGAAGACTCTGAGTGAAGGGTGGGGTATAAATCCAGTCTCCGCCTCCTCTTCTTCTTTTCTCCATCTTGGTACAATGAGGGCAAGACAAGTTTCCTCCATTTTCATCCATCCTGGTTTGTTAGACTAGATTAGAATCCTGTCTCTACTCTATCCTGTCTAGAATGGAGTTCCCTACAATAAAGGACTCATATTAGTTTTACAAAGATAAAGAAGCTCTATATGTAACTTTATTTCTCAACTGTACACACACACAAGGTAAATTTCACTGTGACGTGTTTGAGCACTCTCCTAACCCAATGTTCTTTCACTCACAACTTATAAGTAAATACAGGAAAGACTGGTTCCAAAATAAATGTAGCAGAAATGGTTTCCTTCCTTTAAATAGTCGAATAATACAATTCATTTGATAGGATTCAGGATTAGGAATTAAAAGGTACCAGAAGTAGGATTGCCAGTCCCCCCAGCTAAAGCAGGGCATTCCCTCTGAAAGCGAAACCTGGAAGTGACATGACAGCTCTCTAGGAATCACTGGAAAGTCTGTGGTAAACCTGGTTTTCAGTGATTCCTGGCTTGTTTATAGTTACATTTATAGTATGATTTTCATGTAAGCAAAAGAGTATTCTCTCATTGGCTTCTTCCAAACATTGCCAGTATTGATGTCAGATTTGTTCACATTTATTCCTTTACCTAACCTATTAGTGAGGAACACAGACTAAAATTGCCCTGTGCAGACAGCAGAAGGTGATGGGAACACATAAGAGGATGAACATTTATTTATTCATTCATTTATTTATTTATTGGTCCTACAGTAGATATGAGAACATAGCCAGCATCAGTACTCAACACCAGTAACATCTTAGAGACCAACAGAATTTTTGAGGTATAGTTTATAAGTTTTCAAGAGTCAAAACTCCCTTTGTCAGATACCCTGAACCAGTATTCCCTCTACACAGTATTCCCTCTACTCAGGAAGCCCTGCCCAGCAGCAATCTGGAGCCATGCAGGGTCCTGCACTGCCCACTGCCCATTTTAAGATTACTATCAACAACAGAGTAATAACACCGTATATAGCCTCCACAAGTAAATCCATATGTATATATTTTATTAAACAGTGTACAATAAAGAATTCCTTCAGATGTAAATACAAAGAGCCCAAACAAATGCAACTGTAGTGTAGAGACTGGCTGTAGAGACTTTAGCTTGAGCAACATACACTGGAAGTGTACTAAGTATGTAAAGTGATTTTATATATTTATTGTACAATTCTGCTGTGGTTTGCAGCAAACCAACCTGTTGCGTGCATTTGTCTAGACTCAAGCTGATGGTGGAATGAAAGTTCTTGGAAGTTGTTGAAGTGTCCTGTGAGCCAAGATGATGAAGATCACCATCACTAGCCAACCAGGTAGGGTTGCCAGCCTTCAGGTGGGACCTGGGGCTGGGGATCCTCCAGAATTACAGCTGATCTCCAGACTACAGAGATCAATTCCCAGAGAAAATGTTCCCCTGGAGAAAATGGATATTTTGGAGGGTAGACTCTATGCCATTGTACCCCACTGAGGTCTCTGTCCTTCCCATCCCCCAATCCCCAAGAGTTTCCCAACCTGGATCTGGCAACCCTACCTGGTTGCTTGACAACCCCACCCAGAACCAGGCAAGATTTATATACAAAAATAGGGATACATTTTTCCATCACGGTACGTGGGAGAAAATGATATTTAGAAGTAGGGTTTTGCACTGAATTTTCTTTCCGTTATTTGTCAAGTTATTCTATGTTTGCCCTTAACATTTCCTTAAGAGAGACTTTCATAGAACATTTCCTTAAGAGAGACTTTCATAGAACTGTTGAAATCTTACTGAAATCTGAGCGTGCTTACCGTAAATTTAACGTAAATATGTTCGAACTTTAAAATCGAGATATTGACAAGAACCCCGACAAACACCCTCATGGTGCAGTTACACTGTTCTAAGCCCCTTGTCTTCTAGGAGGAGTGTGAACGCAAAGACTACAACTCCCGAAATTCCTTGCTGCGGCGAACCTAATTTGCACTCCCGCTCCCCCCCCCCGTGCAAAGCATTGTGGAGTCTGTAGGCATAGTGGAATGTTCTCGTCTTTAAAGGAGCCAGAGGCGGCCAGGAGTCGGGCTTTGTAGGCTTGGGGAAGGGACGCGTGTGAGCTCCCCACCCCCTCCAGCCTTTCTTCCTGGGTGGTGTCGCTCTGTGTCTAACTGAGAGGCGGGAAGATGGCGCTGGAGGCTCGGGGGATGGAGCAGGACGTAGAGGATGGAGAGATTTCGGGCTCGGACTGCGAAATGCCGGTCACGGCCGCTGCCAGTAGCCCACAGCAGGTGAGGCCACCAAAGAAGACCTTCCCGCGCGTTTGTTTTCCCGCCTTGCGTTTACCTAGGCTGGGTTTGCGGCCTCGGCAGCGCTGCCGGCAAACCGTCCCGCCCCCATAGGAGAGCGAAGGGGCGGGAATGGCTTCCTGCAGAATTGCTGGATCCAGACCCGGCTGTGAGGGCCCCTGTGCACACTTCATCCAGAGTAAAGCACACCGAAATCGGCCAGGCTTCCGTTTGGGTAAACTAGGCTGGGATCTGGCGGCAGACTTTTCCCTTGAATGCGGTTTCTCTCGTCATTGCAACCCCAAGCTGCAAGGTCTGCTTTCTCTTCAAGCTACAGAAGCCTTCAGCCTCTCTGGACCTAGTAACTCAAGATGGGGGATTATTTATCAGCACCTTTCTGCTCATTGAATAGATGGCCCTGGTGGGGCATGCTGAGGTTCTGCCTGATACTGAAGCATACAACTTTACGACCATCCGTTTTGTTGATAGATTAGAATACCAGATTTCTTGCTTTAGTATAAGGTTTGCTACAGTTATAATGTATAAAGCTTCTCTGGGGGGGGACTTTTGGAGTAAAATGTGCTGGTCTGAGAGTTGTTCAAAAGCTGCACAGTGTGCCCCATAATAGAAGTGGGACTTGAACACAGATCTTCCTGATGCACATTTAGTTTATTAACTAGAGTATACTGATTTATTAAATGGTAGCTGAAAAGGTGAAAGGTGTTGTATGCATTAGTTAACGGCTTTCTGTGAAGAAGAGTTGAGAGTGTGCATATGACTGAAGCATGTATCCACATGCTTGATCTGGGTATTTAGGTTTGTGTGCTTTGGCCATCATGAAGTGGGAGAGTGAAATAATATAAGATGGTGTTGTATATTGAACCAAATTTGTTTAAATAATAAGTGTTTATATAACCTTTCAGATCATGCAGGACTTGTAATCAGTGTTTCCTCTAAGCTGAGTTAGTGTGAACTAGCTCAGTTTTTTAGCCTCTGGCTCACACATTTTCGTCTTAGCTCAGGAAGGATGGCTCCAGAGCAAACTAATCGCTCACTCACAACTTGAATGCCAGCCGCTCACAAAGTAGAATTTTTGCTCACAAGACTCCACATCTTAGAGGGAGCATTACTTGTAATCTGGAATTTATTTATTATGTTTAATTAAAACATTTGTACCCCACGTTTCTTTGTAATTCAAGGCAGCTTACAGTAGTTGAAAACATTTTCAGTTTAAAAAACAAAACTAAAATAACAAACCCCAAATCTTCATTCAAACTCCCTCAAGAGCCTTGGCAAACAGGCAGACCTTGCAGCCAATGCTCCCACTAAGCTGTGGAATCTTGGGAGCAAAAATTCTACTTTGTGAGCTACTGGCGTTAAGTTGTGAGCGAGCGATTTGGCTACTGCATAAATTAGTTCACTCTGGAGCCATCCTTCCTGAGCTAAGACAAAAATGTGTCAGCCGGAGGCTAAAAAACTGTGAGCTTGCTGGGACTTACGGTTTATGAAGCAGCGATGGCGGACGCTCTCCCCGAGCTGTGGGAGAGCGATCTGCATACCAGTGGCCTGGAGGGGTGCCACCTCAAGTGACACCCCCACAGAGCCTTCGCAATAGGCTCCAGGCCAGGGGGCTTTGGAGGGGTAGCCTCTTCGATGGTGTAATGCCGGAGAATTGAGGCTTCCCTCGGCCCTGACGGTCCAGCCGCTGTGTGGCCCTCGGGCACTAGCTGGTTTGACTGGGACAAGCGCCGGAGATTGAGCGGAATGGCGATTTATGAGCGAGGTTAGAGAAACTGACCAACAATGAACATAAATTCAGAATAAATCAGATTACTGTAAAAAGCAATCCCCCCTCCGCTGACAAAAGCGGTCGCAAAGAGCGACACCTCTTATGCAAATAAACTGATAAGCGATACAAAGGGGGGAGGGAACAAAATACACGTGTGTTTTGAGAGACTTACTTGATTTTTGTCATCGTGGGGCGAGTTTTTCGAGCCGTGAAGAAGCGGTAGAAACTGTAACCAAAACGGAGAAAATGGCGGCCCAGCAGAGAAAGCTGAAAACGAAACCGCCAGGCATCAGAACCCAAAACCGGAAGAGGGAGCAGACGTCAGTAAACTCCTAGCGGATATGCTTAAGCTGATGATGGAACAACTCGACGGTATTAACCAGCAATTGACCGTGATGAATAAGAACTTTGCATCTCAACAGATCCAGCTGAATGAAGCGGAGAAAAAAGTGGAGCAGACAAATGAGAAAATTAAAGAGATAGACACCACAAGCAAGAAATTGAAGAAAAGAATGGGAGAAGTGGAAACGAAGCAGAACGTCCAAGAAAATCGCTTGTTGCAGTTACAGATGGAAAAAGCCAACATGATTCTCGGGTTCCAGGCAGTTCCTGAAGCAGAGCAGGAGGACCTGAGGAAGGTGCTTAGCGAGATCATTGCTCCAGTAATAGGCTTAACAGTGGATGAACTTGTAAAAGAAATGGAGCTAGCCTACAGGGCATACTCCAGTTATATTTTAAAAAAATAGCCTGCCTGGAGAAATAGTGGTCAGATTCTCAAGAAGACAAACCAGAGATGCCATCTTAAAAGTGACATCAGCAACTCCACTGAAAATGGGAAATGTAATTATCAAAACATTCCATTTGAAATTCGACAAAAGAGGAAAAACTATAAAGATCTAATTTCTTTCCTTCAAACCAATGGAATATCGTATAGATGGGCGGTCCCGGAGGGTGTCATCTTTAAGATCAACGATAAAAGAGAGAAGATGGACTCCACCTTTAAAGCCAAAGAATTTTTATGGTGGCAGCTGGGAACAGAGGAAGAGTTTAAGGAGGAAGAAACGAAATCTAGTGACTCTGCCACCTCTGGAACGGAAGAGGACTCTGCTGCAGAAACGGGTGCAGGTTCCACCAGAGTTGTATACGATTTTAGAGACAGAAAGCCGAAGTGAAGGCAGGACTCGGAAAAATGGCCTTTTAAAGCGAAGAACAAGAAGATGATCAGAAAGTTCTCTCATAACAACATATTAACACATTTGAAGCGGTGATAAACAAGAACTTTACGAGTATATTGTGATATTAACACTTTTGGTACTAACACCCATACTAACAGGGATAAGATCTCCTCCTCTTGGGGTTTTAGCATAGTGTGGTTATCTTTCCTTTATCCCTAGTTGTAGTTCCCTTCCTAATATTTTCTTTGTAGTTCTGTATTGCAAAATAAAAAATATCCCTTCAGGGGTTTAAAAAACAAACTGTGAGCTAGCTCACACTAACTCATCTTAGAAGGAACACTACTTGCAGCACCTCCTGACCAAAGATATTATAGACTAATGTAGGGCTGAGAATTTCCCACTAAGGAAATGTACCAGCAAATGAGATTTGGGGCTGGAAAATTAGAGTGATCTTGCCAAAATCCGAACTACTTTTTGACTTCTCTGTTTTATGGCTGATAATAGTTTCACCCCGGTGGTTCAAAACAACAAAACCAAAATATTAATTTAATTTGTTCTAGTTCTGGACCTGTTGAAACAAATAGCACCATCCAGATTGAATAGTCTAGCATTCAACCAACATAAAAAGAAACCTAGAATCAAAAAGCACATATTTCCTTTCAGGACCTCTTCTGAGACAGCCACAAAAAACTAGTAATGCAGACTGCGGCGCTAGTAGGGGCCTTATATTGGTCAGTTGTGTAGTACATCAGGGAAGTTCCACAACACAAACTCTGTTGGTCAAGATAATGACCAAATTAAAAAAGGCAGAGATAGCCACTCTGAGGCGTGGTACAGTCCCATTGTGCTCTCATAACATTTGTGAGGACAGTGGGATTATCTCCTGTATTGTATCATGGAATTATCTCCCATATCACCATAAATTTACCCTAGAGTCAAATAGTTTCATCAAATAATATCTTCACCTTTGGCTGCAACTAGAAGGGCTCTGCCAGTTCCTTATAAAGCTCAACACACCAAGGAGACCTGTTGGAATCTTCTGTGGAGTTGATTAATTTGTTGTCCCAGTTGTGCTGAAGGAAGAGCCAACTTTTGGAAATTGGGTTCCAGTCTTATAAAGGCAAAGCCAAGGCTCGTTGCTATGATATCTATTGCTATGGAATCTATTTATGTATAACATTGCTATGCTGCCTTTCCACCCAGATAGGGTCCCCAAAGCGGGGAACATTAAAACATTTCACCATTAAAATGTCTGAGATAATAAAACATTGTTTAAAATGAAGTTTTTATAAAATATTTAAACAATTTCAATAAAGCACATAAACACACATAGAAACACAACCAGGAAGGAGGGCCAATAACAGTTAGCAGGGAAATGTGGGCGGGGGAGTCTTCACCCACTGACGGAAGACAACAATAGAAGGAGACCGGCAAATAGTCTTCTGGAGAGCCAGAGTTTCGGCACCATGGCTGAGAAGGCCTGTTGTCAGGTTGCCACCTGTCTAGCCTTTGATGGCAGAGGCACCTGAAACAGGGCCTCTAAAGCTTACTGGAGTGGGTGGGTAGGTCCATATGGGAGTAGGCAGTCCTTCAGGTATGCTGGCCTACCATATAGAGCTGGTAAGGTAAATACCAGCACCTTGAATTGGATCCAGAAGCAAATTAGGAGCCAGAATAATGGAACCGAACTGAGCAATATGATCCCTCCAACTCACTCCAGTCAGCATTCTGGTTGCACCATTCTATACCAACTGTAGCTTCCAGACAGCCCTCAACTAAGATCATTTCAGTTAGGTGTGTGACCTTCACTGTGACCTTAATAGTCATTTGCACAGTTGCTCTTGGCAGGTAACAATCACCATCACATGACCAGAGAAACTATTGTCAGTTGAAAAGATTGTGTTCTGTGTGTGTGTTCTCTTTTCCTCTGATCTAAGAATACCAAGTACATTCTTACCTGGTTTAAAACCATATGGCTTTTTTCTTTGATTGGCTCTTTTATATTATATTTTAGTATCTTTCTTGTCAGTCTGTGATTATATTGTTGCTAAGATATCATACAAGTAAAAGGTGTTCTGTGATGACAGAAATTGGGTGGTAATGTTGTTTGCTTAACTTTTGACATCTTTTATAAAATATAAATATGGTACTGACTCACACTAGTAATGGAACTTGAGAGTTGTAACTTTGCTAAAATGTATTTATAATGTCCTGTACTATTAAATATCCTTTAAACTCAAAGAACCGGTAGTTAAATATTTCATAATATGAGCAAGATAGCGTGAACACACTGTGCTGCTGCTAGTTGGTACCCAAAGAAGAAACTGTATAGTGTGTCTATGGCTCTCACTGTAATATATGTAGAGAAATATATGTTTACATTATTAAGCATCTAGGCTATGCTTCTGAAGTCAAAAAGGTAACAAGGTAACAAAATTCCTTTTGTGTGATAAGAAGAGTAAGTTGTTTTATCCCACTTTTCTCTACGTTAAGGAGTCTCAAAGCAGCTTACAATAACATTCTTTTCTGCTCCCCACAACAGGTATGTTGTGAGGTATGTAGGGCAGAGAGAGTTCTGAGAGAATTGTGACAGGCCCAAGGTCACCCAGCAGGCTTCATGTGGAGGAGTGGGGAACTGAATCCAGTTCTCCAGATTATTTTTATTTATTTCATTAGACTTATAGCCCACTCCCCCCCCAAATGGGCTTAGAGCAGGTAACATCATGATAAAACGCAATATACAATCTAAAACATTCACAATTCTAATACAGTAAATACAATAAAATGATAGTCTGCCACTCTTAACCACTACATCACACTAGTATGTTGTGTTACTCAGTCAGCTATATTTTCCCTACGTAACATCATACAATCACTTAGAAGTCCAAGCGGCAATTAATTTTCAAGGTACTAGCATATTTGGAAACGTTTGAAAATTACTTACTGATATCCATCCTCTCTGTTAACATGACAGTGGTATTAGGTATCAAATTAGGTTGAGCCACTGTATTTTGATCACATACATCCAAGCCTGGCAGTTTAGGCCCTGGACATAATATTGAAAAGATATACATATTGAGAATACCAGAGAAAGGTTTGAGGATTGTGTTTGACAAATCATAAGGAAGCTCTAAATAACTCTGTGGCAAAACGGGTCTGCTCTGGCCTGCAGGCCGTGTTCCACCGTACCCTCCAAGGTTTTTCCAACACCTGGAGAGGCTTTTCTTTCTTTCTAGGGTAACCCCTGCCATCACCTGACCTTTGTAAGGAATTGCCCACTGGTAGGGTCAGGACTCCCAGCTTCCCTTCCAAGTTCTGAGGCCTTGCCTCTGTGTCTTCCACTGCCCAGTGCCTGGTCATCATGGTGACTATTGCCTTGTGTGATCTTGGAGGAATAGCCACTTGCCAACTGCCCTGTCCCCCCCCCCCCGTGCTCCTTTTACAATAGTGTGTCCAAGACAATAGAGGTCTATATGGTACATCAAAAGTTATAAAGTATTTATTAAAGAGAAAATGTTCAAGAGCATACTTTTAGCAAAACACCAGATTGAGCAAGGGATTAAAAAGAAATGGGTAAAACGCAATTCCTCTGTCCCTCTCTCTATACATGCCCTATCAGATGTTAAAATATAGGACAGGTTCCTTAGCTTAGGATGTTATACTGTCTTGCAGCTTCCTCCAGCTCCTCAGGCCAGCATGTGGTTAATGGCCACCTCCTCCAGACTTCAGTTAAGAGTTCTATCTGCTCTGATGGACTCAGCACCAAAGAGCCACCCCTCCTTGCTTACTGGAGTTTTATCTTCTCCCTTTCCCCTCCCACTGACCTGGTCAGGCCAAGTCAAGGAGGCTTTTCCTTCTTGAAGTCTCTCTAGTCTTAATTCCTCCCAATATCTGTTCCCTGCTTGGAGAAGAGGGGGGGAGAGCTTGACTATCCCATTGTCTTTAGCTGGACCTATTAGCATTTCCTAAGGAGTAGCTGAGGTGAGCCCTGGAGAGCCATTGACTGAGTTCCTCCTCCCTGCATGTTCTCTGCCCAGGGAGGAGGAAAAAAACTTTTAAAACACAAAGTGGCGGTTTTGCTCATTTCAACCTCTAAAGAAAAAATGCATTTCTTCACAAACACTATCTTTTTTTGTCGTGAAACTCAGAAAAAATGAACAAGGACCAAAGTGACTAGTAACTTTGCTGTTCTGCTTCTGTGTATTCTGTGGAAAAAAGAGAAGTGTCAGGAGAAGGATGACTCTGAATTCTGAGAGCCAGTGTGGTGTAGTAGTTAGAGTGTTGGAATAGTACCAGGGAGACCCAGGTTCAAATCCCCATTTGTGCCATGGAATCTTGCTGGGTGACCTTGGGCCAGTCACACTCTCTTAGCCTAACCTACCTCACAGGGTTGTTATAAGGATAAAATGGAGGCGAGAAGAATGATGTAAATTGCTTTGGGTCCCCATTGGAGAGAGAGGCAGGTTACATAAATAAATATAAATTATCTAGGGAGTGACGTGGACCTTTTTCTCCTTTCTCTTCTCTCAGGAAGAAGTATGCATGCACTAAGAGAAGTAATCAGATGTTATACACACACACACACACACTGTCTGCTTGGAGGCCTTATAGGATAAGGCATTTCTCCTCTAGCTTCTGTCTTCCCCAGTAAATAAGAAACTGTGGGAAGATGCTAACTGCCTGTACTCAAGTCTGCTTCAAGGTGTTCGGCATGTAGTGGTGTTAGGTGGTTTAGGAAGGTTTAATGGTTTCCATACTCTAATAGACTGTGCGGATGTGGTACTAACCGAACTGACTATATATCATATTTTGGATTGCCCTGAATTTTCAGATTTGAGAGTTGAATTGATTTTTGCTTTGCTTAAGCAATACTCCATTTCTTTAGAAGCTAAGTCTTCTTAGGCCCTGTTCATACGAGGGGTTTTGATCCGGGAGTGAGACAGAACGGGGGCGGAGCAAATGGGCGCGATCCCACGGCAACATTTGGGAATCGTTGCCTGTCCGTCCCCGATCCGTCCCTCCCGCCCGAAAACCCGCACTAAAAAGAACCACCTACCTGGGTGGTTCTTCCAAAGTAGAGCGCCTCAAACTGGCCGTGGCATTGGCAGGCGCGTCCTTGCGGCGGCACATCCCGGCCCCTGGCCGAACTGCGCATGCTTGAGCATGCGCAGTTCGGCAGCCTCCCCCTTCCTCCCCGCGCTTTTCTCTTACCTCTTCCTCCCCGCGCTTTTCACTGTGTTTTCCCTGCCGTGTGGTAGGGGCCTTAGTTACTAAAAGATGAAGACAGACAAGTAACTTTGCATGTGGCTAAATTTTTGGCAGCTGAAGTAAAATCACATTGTAACTTCAGTAGCAAATCTTAGATTTCCTGTTTACTGTGTGATGGCTTGCTGTTTATTACTTCTGTCATGAAAACAGTAATTAAGAATTAGTAATAGTGATCAAGTGGTTAAGACGCTGAACTGCAGGCTGTGAAAGGTCAGTAGCTCAGCAGTTTGAGACCCGAGTGCCGCATGACGGAGTGAGCTGCCATCTCTAGTTCCAGCTCCTGCCAACCTAGCAGTTCGAAAGCAAGAAATTGCAAGTAGATAAATAGGTACCACTTTGGTGGGAAGGTAACAGCGTTCCGTGCGCCTTGGTGTTTAGTCATGCCGGCCACATGACCACGGAAACGTCTTTGGACAGCGCTGGCTCTTCGGCTTTGAAACGGAGATGAGCACCGCAACCCTAGAGTTGGACTCGACTGGCTTTCGAGCAAGGGAACCTTTACCTTTAATATTGATCAGTGCTTCTGTTTTTCTGTAGTATAGCAATCAGGGCAGAAGAAAATTGTTCATTTAAAAAAACAAAACTATGTATTCTCTTTAAATTTCAGAAACAACTTGATAGCAACAGTTCAGCCAGATCTTTCCCAAGCAGCATTTCATCCTGTGCCCCAAGTGTCCCTTATCGGACAGTGAAAAATGTAGACTCAAGTGATGAAAGCTTCTCAGATTCAGATGAAGACAGCTGTCTGTGGAAACGAAAGCGCCAGAAGTGTTCTAACATTCCTCCCCCTAAACCAGATCCTTTTCAGTTTGCCCTTAACCCCCAGAAGCCACTGAACGTGGGGGGTAAAAAGATCAACAATGTATGGGGAGCGGTGCTTCAAGAACAGAATCAAGATGCAGTGGCCTCAGAACTTGGGATACTAGGGATGGAGGGTAGTATTGACAGAAGCAGGTTTTCAGAGACCTACAATTACTTGTTGGCAAAAAAACTGATGAAACAATCTGATACAGAAGTAACTGAGAGACTGGACAAAGAGTTGGACGAATATATGCAGGATAACAAAAATATTTTACCGGAGGAGGAAGAAAATGGACAAGGTCTCTTAAAACGGAAACGGCCTGTTAAAGACAGACTGGGTGAAACAAAAATGAATTATAAAGGGAGTTGTGAAATCACTGAAGATGACTCTGAGGAAAAAGTGGCAGATGAAATTGCCTTCCGGTAAGATTGTCACATTAATTACATTTATTTGTTGGTTAGATCTAGAGTATATTTTTAAGAACAGTGCTGGTGGATGTGGCTGAACTCAAATGTTTCATTTTTAAAATTGACAAACTATAATATACAAAAATATAGTGTATGTAGTCAGAACATCTTTTCAGTTGGTAGAATCTATAGTTGTTAGTTCAGTCAGAGTTCTGGGCTGGTCCAGCAAATAAAATAAATAAATATATTGGTAAAAACCTCAGGTACCTCTTTAACTCTGTATTCTTCAAATTGAATAACTAAAGTTCTGAAGGCACTTTCCTGAATAGAAGCCTTGTTGAATAAAATGGGAATTAGTTCTGACTTGACCTGCATAGCATTGCTCCCTAAGTGACTGGGATACCTCGCATGAACAAAGCTAAACATACGAATTGGGCCCATTCCTGCACATAAACAGAGCCTTCCCCCCCCCCAAGAAAACATAAAACCTTTTCAGACTTTCATAGAAAATATAAGCATTACATTTTTTGCCCTGCTGTTGTTTAATACTGTTGTATGACTGTTCTCAATGGTACTAAAACACATCTTAATTTATATGGATGCAACTATGAAAAAAATTGCCACTCCTGTTTTGGTACTATGTTGTTTTCTTCTCTTGGACCCTAAAAATGTGTTTACAGTTTATGTTACATGATCCTGAATGTTAGTAAGGAATTTGCTTCTTTTGTGTTAGCTGTAGCACAACCTGAAGTTAAATTGTTAAGAAGAAGCCCAAACTAATGATAGCTCATACAGAATTGTAGCTGGTTGCAAACATTTCTGTACTTCTGTGTATCTTTATTGCTCTCTCTTTTTTTCTTTAAGCCATATTGTGCTTCACTTATTGTTTATATTCTGTATTATATACTTTGGAGGGGGGGGTTGCTGCTGTTAAATGTATGTACATTATGAGGAAGGAACACTTTGTTTCTCTGAGCTGCTTGCAAGGCAAAGGTGCCCTTTAGATAATGCAATCTTTCTCCTTGCCTAACTGCAACTGCCAATGTGCCCCTCAGGACAAGTAAGCAGTTGTATATTGTCCCTTTTAGGCTTCAGAGAATGAGAGCATCCATGTGTTTTTAATCAACATAGTTTTCACAGCTAGAAGTTCTTTTGGGCCAACAACCATTCTTAAACTGCTTTTTTTTAAAAAAATGATAGTTACTCAATTAAAATGTAGGTAAGTATCATGAATAATTATCCTAAATTTTAATGTGCTCCTTTAAACCATATTTGGTTGTGTTTGATGTAACTTTTTCTTGGTTCCCTTGTTCAATTTCAGGTATGTTTTCAGGTCTTTTGTACAAAAAATCAGTAATAAGGTACCCATTTAACAGTGCAATCCTATGCAGAGTTATTCCAATCTAAGCCCATTGATTTAAGTGGGTTTAGCCTGGGGTAATTTTGTGTAGGATTGCTCTAGATAACCACTAGACTCAAGCCTAGGCATGTCTACTAGGAAATGAATTTTGTTCAGTGGGCTTATGTCTGGGTAAGTGTGCATTTACTCTGTAGTTGATTAATCATGCTGTTGTCATAAACTAAGTATCAGTATACTAACACTGGCAATGGTAGGTACATTTGTTGATAAAAGTTAGCGGTTTGTCACTCAAACTGGTTATGGAGTGCAAGGAAAGTCTATCTTTTGTAGAATTTTCTTTTCTTTCTAGGCTATGTGAACCAAAGAAGGATCTGATAGCACGGGTAGTAAAAATCATTGGAAAAAAGAAAGCTATCGAATTAATGATGGAGACTGCTGAAGTGGAACAAAATGGAGGTCTTTTGATAGTGGTAAGGAAAACCAGAGATTTGTTGTTAGAACTTGTTTAGTACCTACTCATGATCACTGACTTTCAAATGCTATTTGTGCATCTGCTTTCCCCAACAAATGCCAGGATCTCTGCTGCCATGTTATTTGTGTCAAGGCTTTTTGGCCTGGGTTGGGGGGAAAAGAAGCTCCTTTTTTCTTGGATTGTGGCAGATTCTGGCTATTTCTTCAAAGAGGGTTAAATAATCCCTGACTCCAGTATATGGAGATTACCAATATCTGGTGTGGTGTGCTAGGATCTGGGGGGTACAGGTTCAAATCCCAGCCCTGCCATGGAAGCTTGCAAGGTGACTTTGGACTAATCAGACATATTGAGCCTAACCTGCCTTGAAGGGGTTTTGTGAGGATAAAATGAAAGAGAGGTGAATGATGTAAACTGCTTTGGATCCCCATTGGGAAGAAATGCAGGGTATAAATGAGGTAAATAAACAAACTATAAAGTAAAGAAAATATTGATGTCCATGTTTTCTGTTGTCAGTAGCTAAGAATACAAAACCTGTGTTGCTTATTTATATGGTCTAGTATACTAGTGCTACAGTAAATAGTAACAATTAATTGTCGATTTTTCGGGCTGTATGGCCGTGGTCTTGGCATTGTAGGACCTGACATTTCGATACGAAAACCAAAAAGAACTGTGATTATATAAGTTGGCAACTTCACATAAGTAATTATAGGATTTTTATGGAGTAAGAAGTAGAAGTATATTGCCTATACGAGATTCACATGATAGGTATCAGGATAATACTAGCCCTTTTAGTGTGCCTGGATTAGGGAAGAACTCTTACAAAAGTTGACAACCATTTTTAAGTAATGACAGGATCAATGTAAAGAAATCAATAAGTATATAATGTCTACATGAGCCTCACCTGGTAAGGCATTACAATACCAGTAGCCCACGGAAGCTCTACTAGATACTATAGCTATTATGAATATTGGTAAGTTTTGTAGATAAGTCTTTTATGTAGTACTATACACAAGTTGTTTATTTATGATGATTCATAATACATGTGTATTGTAATAGTGTTCGTTGCATTTTATAGAAAATCATCACTGATATCTTTGAAACATCACCAGAGGAAATGAATTATTGAGAGACAGTATTTGTAAGGTTTCATACTATTTTATTAACAATTCTATTGGAATGATTCTTATAGTGATATAAGTTTTTCAAAATGTATGTTGTTATATTTAACAAGGTCTCACATCTTTGGTCGGAAGAAGATCAGCCATCGAAATGGCAAGGCATTCCGAAGACCACCGTCAATTTCCCATTATTTTGTATATTATTGTTCACTTATTGTATCATTTTGATTCTTAAAGAAAATTATTAAGCGTCACATCATCACAGTTCTTTTTGGTTTTCGTACTGTCCTATGACTGTGCCAATCAATTTAGGACCTGACATTTCGCCAGCAGCTGTGACTGGCATCCTCAGATGTATAACACAGAAAGAAGAAACCACACAGTATCTTATTCCAAGACACTGAAAGGCTGGACAACACATCCAATTACTATGTCAGATTACACAGGGAAGCCATTGAAACTCATAAACATAAACACAATTTCAACAGGAAAGAAGAGAGTTTAAAAATAAATAGGGCATGATTTCCTGTCCTGAAAAACACAAAATGGTCTACATCTTACAATAGCACTACAGATAAGATTAGAATTTCAACAGCCAATCTATATGCAAAAGAACCTCTTCAGGAAAGCTCCTCTATTAGCATGTCACAGCCTGGAGAACTCCTACAAGATAATGACTCAGCCCTACCCCACCTTCCTGACTAGATATAAATTACCTGCCTACCATTTTTCTTCTCACCTTGACACAGAGAGTACTCCATCTTTCTGTGTTATACCTCTGAGGATGCCAGTCACAGCTGCTGGCGAAACGTCAGGTCCTACAATGCCAAGACCACGGCTATACAGCCCAGAAAATCTACAACGATTAATGAACTCCAGCCGTGAGAGTCTTCGACAACATATAATAGTAACAATGTTAATGACGGTCATTCCTTTAAAATACAGATAAATTATGATCTCCAGGTACTATTTTTAAAAAGCTTGTAACACAAGGATTAATTCTCTGATTTCTTTAAACTGCACCATCCCTTCCAGTTTGTACAAAATGTCCATAGCACTTGAGTTAGGTAGTAAACCATCTTCTCTTCTGGCATAGCATGACCTCTGGTCATCAACTTCTGTTGACAATACTTAATTAGATGCAATTAGAATGTGGTATCAATATGTATGGAAGTTTCTGAAGTACCTGTAAAAATTGATATGATTAATATGCTTGTTTCTTTATGGCTTTTTTGTACTTTCATGGGGCACAAGTAGTAAACTTGGTAAAAGCTAGCTGTGATTTTACATGTACTGTAATGGGGGTTGAGAGTAGGAAGATAAATTCAGGAGTCTAAAAAACTAACATAACATTCTCATAAATTGCATGGTAAAGTATACCCTTCTCCACCTAGCTATTAAGATTATTTGATAATAACAACATGTATCATGCTTTCTATGCATTTCATTTTTCAAGGCAGTGGGTAGAACAAAGATTAATTTTTATGAAAGCAAGATTTGCATCCAATAGCACCTTAAAGACCAGCAATATTTCTAGGGTACAAGCTTTTGAGAGTCAAAGTTTCCTTCACTGGATATCCTGGAGCTTTGATAAACTTTTGCAGGTCTTTAAGGTGCTACTGGACTAGCTCTTCTACCGAAGACCAACATGGCTACTCATCTGGTGCTCATCATCTTATAAAGCACGGGGGGGGGGGACCATTTCTAGTCTCAGAGCCAGCCCTTTGTGCCATACTAAATGGTCTGGTGTGCCAAAGGCTGTCTGTCACCTTCCTAGAGCTGTATTTGTATCATATGCAGCCTTGAAAGTACATCATCTTTTGCATTTTAAGTTATTTAAAAGACAAGTAACAGTGACAAATACAAGTAAAGTATGTTGTGTTTTCCTACAGAATTCAGCCCTAGGAGAAAGACAGCATCTGAGTTATGCCATTGCAACTCTCGTAATGTTCTACTTACCTTAGAATAATTTAACTCGGGCACTTCTAGGAAAACTGGATTAGAGGGAGTGACCAGATAAAAATGTGCTCTAAGTAACATGACTACACTAGACAGAAGTAAAGTAAACTGGGTAAAAATTTACACATGGCCTTAGGGCAATATATGTTGTGGCAGCACTTCCATCGTTCCCTTCTTTCACAGCCATGAGCATATAGATTTTAGACAGGAAAATAGTATCTTGGATGCCCACAATAACATTTCTTGAAATGCTCGGCTCTTCAAGGAAGACTTTGTCAGACCGCATGGTTAATGTATCAACAAATACAGAACCCTCCAACAGTGCAGTCCTAAGCAACGTTATGTTGAAGTAAATATGTTTTAAAATGTGCAATTCTGTTTAGGTTGATTGTGAATCAGGGTGTATTTAAAAAAAAGATAACTAATCCTTCTATCATCAGTTTTCTGCTCAAACAAACATTTTTGTGAACTCACCCAATCTGCTTAGTTCAGCCTTGCACTTGTAGCTTTCAATCTGTTTTTCTGTTGTCCAGAATGGTACTAGGAGGAGGACACCAGGAGGAGTTTACTTAAATCTGCTGAAGAATACACCTAGTGTGACTGGAGAACAAATCAAGGTAAATAATGTCATATATACAAGTGCCATTTGTTTATATTTTCAAATAATTTCAAAAGACATCTATTTAATAGGATTGTTCCTAATGTTTTCTCATGCCCTTCATGAATCTTCTGAAGTAAGATGATGTTAGGAATGAGGGCCCTGAAATTGAGGGGCCCCCCTTATAGTGGAAAAATAGGAAAGTTGGAAGAAATGGAAAAACTTACTTATTGTTTTAGCTGTCTAATTCCAGTCATACTCCATTGAAGTCAATAGGCTTAGTGTGGAGTAACTTTGCATTGGATTGTACTGCATGCTTCTCAATAGAGTATATGACAGTGTGGGTGATGACGCTTTACTGAAGTTTTCATATTAGAAACTTCAATATTCATATTTAGTGATAAGACTTAATATTATGATACAAGTGCAAATTTTCCCCAGAGAGCTGGAAACGGTTTGAATCAAGGATCATCACATATGTTGTATATGCTAGCCACTTAGTTGCCTCTAGTAAATAGGTGTTGCAATCTTTTGTATTCTGTTTTGGCCTATGGAGGCTTTCTCAAAGTTCATGTAGTTAAAATAAAATAAAAGATTTTATTTTTATGCAGTTTTATTTTCACAATTTTTCCAGCTTGTAAAAAGGAAAATATGCACAGAACACTTTGGAATATAGAAGCTTAATGTTCTATCAAAAGCTAGATATATTTAATTACTGTATGAATAAAACTAGGGAATTGGTAATTTTAGTTTTCAGAAGGGATCAATGTATAATTTTACATAGTTCATTTTATGTTCTTAGTAATAACAAATTTAGGTCTGATAAGAAAACTAACACAGTCTTCATTTAGGGCTGTGACCATGCAATGGTACAGCCTACGAAACTGGCCAGCCTTAAAAAGTGGCAGCTCATCTAGGACTGTCATCAAAGGATCTATCCCGTCCTCTCATTGGGGATATTCATTTTTATTTATAGTCCACCTTCCTCACTGGGACTCAAGGCGTATTAGAAGTACAATAGAACTGTTCAGTCATATCAGTAAGTGATTACAAAACATAACATTTGAGTGATAACAACACTTGAAACTAACAGCAAAGATTCCTAAAACAACGAAGTTATACTCTGTTAGAATTTAAAACAACGAAGTTATACTCTGTTAGAATTTAGAGATCAGGCCAATTGTGCCTGTGAATGCCTGTTTAAAAGCTCTTCAGAACAAATCATAGTTTGACTTTTCCATTCCCACATTTTTGACATCCAAAACTTATTTAAGCGTTTTTGTTTGCTGTTCTATTTAAGTGGGTAGCAGTGACTCAGAAGTATAAATCTTTCTAACTTCAGGGTACCTGCCTGCCTTAATGGAAGAATTACAGCTCTCAAATATTACAGTCTTCCTGTTTTCATATGCTAGGCAGACAGACCTGTAGCAATTTAAAACAGGGCACCCTTTGACTTTAGGAAGCTCAAACATTAATTTTCAGATTTTCTTTAGCCGTTTTTAAAGCATTTTAATACACAGCAGTCTTGCAAAGGGGGCTTTGTTCTTTTTCAGAAGTTGGCTTTTATCTTTAGTTTAAAGGTGAGCAAAGGGAACCAGTGGTTCCTGAAAGGTGATGTGTTTTTTTTACCTGACTATTATTCCTTAGCACCTTATGGGGTATTAAAATTCTCTTTGAAGGAAATCTTCTATATGGAAAACCAAAAGGAGTATGAGAACAAAAAAGCTGCAAAAAAGAGGAGAATTCAAGTCTTGGGAAAGACGATGAAGAAAGCCATTAAAGGGCTCAACCTTCAAGAGTATGATGATGCCTCTCGAGAGACTTTTGCTAGTGACACAAATGAGGCACTGGCTTCTCTGGATGATTTGCAGGAAGGACACAGTGAAATGAAGCTGGATCCAGAAGATGTTATTGAAATAGATAACACTCATGACTTAGACATCTTTTAATATACTGGATACCTGAAAGACTATAATCTTTAAGAACTATATTAAATAGCTGTTGTTATTTTATGACTACTTCTTTTCATTAGTTACAATATTACATATGTCATTTTTAAGAGGAACTTCTGGGTTTTTCAATAATACTTCAGTTTGCTTCAGATGATTATTATTTTTGGATTTTCATCTTTTGTTCCGTGGTATCTATCCCCACTCAACACCTATTAAGACTGTGTTCACTCACCTCAGGATTCATTTTAGATAACAGCTGTACTGTTTCTCCAGGGCAAAACTAATTTATGTAGGCTCTAAGCTGCATGAAAGTATTCCTGCAGTTAGCAAGGTGATGCACCACTCTCTGAAATGTGTTTTGACATGAAAGCATGTTCTATGTACATGGCTATACAGCTTTGAAACATCTATTTGGTTTAATATTCAACCTGCCTGCAAACTACTGAAGTAATATCTAAGAAAAGGAAAGATTATCACTTTGAGGTCTTTTTTTAACTGCCCTTTATTAGAATGCCCATTATGTCCTAAAGAATACTCTCTAAAGATTTAAAGAAATGTTCACATTTGTTTGCTTTTTTCAATAAGTGTACCAGGTTTTTCTCTAGACATGTGAAGCATGGGGTTCTTAATATATGTTGCAGATTTTTTACAGAACTCTGATTCCATCTTTTGATATTGGACCAACAGTATCTATAAAACACTTTTTCATGAGATGTTGCAGTGAGTAAGACAAGCTGATTTCTTATACCACTCTTTAAGTAATTTTCTACTCAAGCCCGAGTTTTGTGCGAATGCTGCAGTTTTTCTTCAATTATCGTGATGAAACACTACTGAAAAGAGCAGTACACAATTAGGTACAGAATAGACGGGGTAAAGGTCTAGATTCGAAGCCTTATTCTACCTGCACAAGGCCCTTTTCTGTTGCCCAGGTGATCCTCTTATGCAGAGCTTGTTCCTCAAGCATTAGGCACTTCTCCTTAAGCAAGACCAATGTCTCAATAAGCTGAAAAGTGCCTCCTGCTCCGCAGTTGGACCACCACTGCCATGAATAAAGAAGGTACAAGTGGAAACAATGCTTAAGATCCAAGCCACAGTATTCTTCGTTGTTTGTGATTTATCTTTTGACATATTTAACATCTTTGTTTGCTTCTCTGTACTTAGAGAAAATTACATACTTCAACTGCATAGCGATGTTAGTTGTACACAAGTACCACGAAAGAGGCATAGTATAAACTCTGAGGAGAAAAACAGCCCCATCTGGTAACCCTTCCAGGCTGATCCTTTGGGTTTATTCTCCTTTGTAATTGGATCACGGTGTTAAGACTTAGGCTGTGATCCACCAGTGGACTTCAGTGGGTCCAGCAATCTGATGTTTAAGTCAGTTATGCTACATATTCTTAAATCTATGTATGTCAGCTTAATTATTTTATGGGTTTTAAAGTAACAGCAAATCAATTTAAGCTACTGTAGGTTCATTGATGATCTTGGAATTTGAGTCTACCAATTGCTGCTATTTTCTCTTCTTGGGATAGAATATTAACAGTGCAGTTCTATGCAGAATTACTCTAGTTTTAAGCCCATTGATTTCAGTAGGCTTAACACTAGAGTAACTGCATAGGGCTGTACTTTCTCATATCTAATATGTCTTAATATGCTATTATATATGGGATCTTCTGCATATACAGCCCTGAAGTGATTGTGTTTTCTTCCCAAAACATTGAATTAAAGACCCATTCCAAATGTGGAAATAATGGCTTATCATGATAACTTTATTATATTGCAGATAGAGTACAGTTCTCTAAACTTGAGTTGAATAATTTAAAAGATTACTATAGCATACTGTTAAATTTGCGCATGCTGTTACAGTAATCTTTGGAAGATAGTTGTCACTGAAAAACGGGGTATTCTGGTGCTCTAATCCTTAATAGGCTATTGTTACAAATCTCAGTAACAGTACATATTTAAACATAGAAGGTCTTACATCTGAGTATAGATGCACAGGTTCAGGCTGTTAGCCTGCTATTTATGTCAAGCATGCATGTACACTGACTTGTAGCAAATCTCAGGATCAGACTTTGAATTATTTTTCCAAATTAAGTCCAAATCATCTTCCCATCTCCACCGCTGTTTTTGCCTCAGATTCTAAAAATCTCATTAGCCAGTAGTGTTGAATAAGGCTATTGATTGATCTTCCCACCCCCCACAACAATTTAAATAATCTTAAAATAATGAAACTGAACAGTTTAAATAACTCAGCTTCTCTGCCTGAGCCAGAACAGTAGGCATGCAAGTTATCTATTTTGAAAAGACCTCTTTGCAAAATGACAAAATCAAGGTACACCTATCTGATTTAATTTTCAGTTGTAGAGCACAAAAATAAAGATTGGTTTTGAAAACTTAGTTTTTGCTGAATTTCTTAAAAGTTTCCCCAGATATATTTGATGTGGACTCTAGACTGGGAGGTAAAATGGAAAGAGCACATTGTTTGAATTATTGTGGTAATTCTTGTTGCTGTTTTTATTAACATACGGAACACTTTAAAAATTTCAATATGTGAATGCTTCTTTGGGCAAGAAATCCTTCTGCTACTGCTCTGGCTGCATTTTCTACACTGCACAAAAGGTCTCTGTCCCCTCCCCATAGGGCCAGTCGGTAGAGCATCAAACTTGTACAATGAATCAGCATCCGCAGTTTTATTTATTTATTTATTTATTTATTTATTAAAACATATATCCTGCCTTTCTTCTTGGTTTAAGGCAGCTTACAATAATATTGTGACATTGATGGCACTGACTACAATATCCTAAATCAAAAGGCATTCAATCACTTAGCACCCCCCGCCAAAAAAAAAATCAATAGTTTTTATTACTACTTTGCGGTCCCTTTAAAAGGGCATGTACTCTCAGGAATTTGACAGAAAAAAAATGATCATTTGCATTCGGAAGGGAACTGTACTGTCTGAATACTTCTAAAATTTTACTGAAAAGAAGGAAATAGTTGCTATGGTAGGTAAAGGCCAGAGGCCTTTCCCTGTGAAGCTAATCAGTATGTCTCATTATTTGTTCAAGTTCAGCTCACCCTTTTATCTTGTTGTGCACTTGCTTCTCAGATCCTGAAATGTGAGCCCCTAAGGCATGAAATGTTATATCTTATGCAGTGTGTTGCATAAGGAGAGTTGTAGCTTCTGCTAGAGAAGGAACAGTTGATTAGGTCTGAGATCCAAAGCCTCCCTGGTATGTAGGAAGTCCTGCAAGTTTAGCTTGACTTCTCAGTGAATCTGGTGTGCACCAAAGTCTTTATTTTGGGGCTGACTTTATAAATTATGCCCTCACAGGAAAGAAAGATTAACATTACTCCTGACTTTCTATAGAGACCTTGGGTAAAAAGTATGTCTTGCACCAGGCCTACATGAGAGTTTATTACAATCCTGATTAGGTATCTTATAGGACAACAGGAAGTTAGTCAGGATGGGTGAATGAAACGCAGTTACCTGGGAGGGCATTCTCACCTGTGCTGTGTGAACTTCTCTGGCTGCTGCAGACCTGCATTTTATTTGATCAGTGTCAGATATACCTGAGCTGCATGGGATTAGCAAAATGACATGTGGAGAGAATGAATAAACAAAGCCTCAAATATTTTTTTTAAAGGCTCATCATACACCATTAGTAACAAGGGGGGGGGGAAACTATTTTGTATCAAACTTTCTACAACTTTACATAAGAACATAAGAGATGCCAATGTTGGATCAGGCCAAAGGCCCATCCAGTCCAACACTCTGTGTCACACAGTGGCCAGAAATACCAGGTGCCATCAGGAGGTCCACCAGTGGGGCCAGGACATTAGAAGCCCTCCCACTGTTGACCCCCCTAAGCACCAAGATGACAGAGCATCACTTGCCCCAGAGTCCCTATCTATACCTTGTGGCTAATAGCCACTGATGGACCTCTGCTCCATATGCTTATCTTTATTTTTTTGCATGACATCACTCTCTTTTATCACTACTTTAACCCTACTGCAGCATCTCTACTGACATGTTTTAGAAGTTTCATCATGAAGAATCTACATAGTGACACTTTGTTTTAAAAAGTTACTTTGCCCCATGCATGCATGATTTGTGTACTGAACCATTTTATTGCCCAATTAAGTCAAAATCACTTCTATAGACAGTCCAGAACTGCAACTGAAGATTTTTATTCCCTGGAACAGGTACAATACAAAACTGCTGGTTAAAAGTCTGAGAACCATTTGGGAAATTACCACCTAATCATTGTAGTTTTCTCCATTCTTAATGTTTTAGATAGGCAGCTGTGTGCCATACTTCATCCCTCTTGACTTTGCTATTTGCCTTTTATATTTTTTATTTAAAATTACAATTTAAAAATTACTGCCACTATAAGCTTTTATGGTTTCTTGCTGCTTTTGATACTGTTTCTGGTTGCTGTTGCAACCTTGGTGTCATCAGCTTGACAGCTGCTACTGCATCATAATCCCTCTTTAGGCACAGATGGCAGGTTTCCCAATAGCTCTCAGAAAGCAGCTCCTGCGGCATGAGTGAACCAAAGCCTATGGTCCCCCAGGGACCCAGACCCAATGTGGATTCTGTGGGGCTTAATACTGACCTTAAAGGGTAAGTTAGTAGACTCCATTCTATGAAAAATATTGATTCCTTGAACAGGAGTCATTCAGGAAATGAGGGTGTTACATTTTCTGTAAAAAGGCTTTTGGGGTACCTGGGCTGTAATGTGTGCTTGTTAGAAACATAGATGAAGCAAAATATTTTTTTTTTAATTTTCTAAGTGAACAGGATTTAATGACTGACTCTCTGAATAAGAAAATAGTTAAGTGAACCAGTCCAGAAAACAATTGTAACTGTTTCATAATTAAAATGTAAATATATGTAAAATGGCTTATCTTCAAGTTAAAATACCAAAATATCTTTAAAGTTAGCTTGATGTGAATTATCCAGCACAACTGGCCAATTACTTCAATAAGGGTAA